CATACACGGGGCCTCCCCCAACTTCTCCCTCAAAGCATTTAAAGTTTAAATGCTTTGGGGGGGAAGCAGGGGCCACGTGCCTGCAATCCATGCTGCGAATTCGTGGCTTGGAGTGCAGACAACGTGGCCTCACCCCCACTTCTCCCCAAAAGTTGTGGGGCTGGGCCCTGGGAGGCCCCACTGTAGCTACAGGCCAGCTAGCTCTTTGGATCTCAGCCTTAAGACATCGTAGGATTAATTAAGTGGTCCATTTCATCATCAGCACAGTAGATGCAATCCACAGAGGTCTGGCATATTTACAAGGTGCTGAACAGAAGCGTTCAACTCCCATTGCTTGCAACACACGTCTGAGCGCTTACGTCTCTGCGATTTCATGACACCAAACGTGCCTCCTTCTCTCTAGATTGTACCCAGCAAGTTTATTTGTTTTGCCGCACAGGGTAGGAATGAAACAATAAATTAACTATGAACTGACCAAGTGGAGGAATTTACACACACAATCTTCCTCTATGTATCCGTAACACATTTAATACTAGACGACAAGTTGACGCGTCTTTGGCCATTTCACCAGTTGAACTTGAAGGTTTGCCTGACTTCTTTGTTGAGTACTATAACTGGTCACACAGTGCTCCGTACATTCCTGTCCACACATGTGTGGTTTTCAGAAACCAAACTTGAGAGGCAAAGATTACAGAGTCTTAATTGCAATTTCCATACGTTTTGTTTGAGATCTCTTAAATAGAACACATTTATATGTTATCCAACGCCTGAACTGTTTTACAAGTTAAACTGCAATTGTTGTATTCGGTGGGGGGAGCGGAATCATCACAATTTTGTGGTAGCACTTCCTGCTCTAAAGTTATTCAGCCAGAATATATCTGTAGCCAACTGCAACGTCTTTTCCCTGACAGGTAAATACTGATTATTAAAGATGAAACTGCAAACCATGTTATATATTAAGAGGTAAGAAAGATGCAGTAGCTTTGCCGCTATTTAAGAATACATTTTGCCTTAGGATCTTATCTTATGACTATATTTACATAGCATATCTAAACAACTGAGGCAACTGATTGTCAACACACATGACAAATGTATGCATCTGCTCACGTACACACACCCATCGCGTACGAAACAAAAAAAGAGTCCCCCACCAAATTCTACTGTTCACAAAAATAGTGCAAATAAAAACAATCCAAAAACATGGTTAGTTTCACTACTTTCCAGTGTCAAAGCATGTGAAATCAACTACTTTAAAGCTGGGGGGGGGGGCCCGCGGGGCGGGATTTGTCATGAAATGTCTGCTTTATGTTATCAGACACTACTACTGCATCCGCAAATCCCACAGGTAGCTTAAATGACACAGATCCACTATGACATGAACGTATCATCTCCGTGCAAAGCGTACATGTCTCGCGCTGAGAAAACTAAACCAGAGAGCTGCCCATAACTTCTGCAGTGAATGAGGTACAAAGTCTTCAGAGCCAGTACAAGACTCGGTCCCGTGCCGTATCGATCCTGCCACTTTTCTGCCATTTCGCGGTGCAAAGGCAATTTCTGAGAGACTGTCCCCTCCTAAGAACCAAAATGCCGTCAATTTTAAGTCTGCTGACTAACCGGCAGTTGTGTGGTTACTCTTCCCTCCTCACCTCCAATGGCTGGAGTGGTGAATGGCTGGAAGCTTACACGCATTTCAACTGATATGCAACATTCTTCCCTCCACAGTGTATGCAAAAGAAAAGAAAAAGAAAGCTGGTTCTGGCTTCTAAACCATTCCTGCAAAATATTTTGTGTTTTCAAGGCAACCTTTCCCCCACTAACATTCTTCCACAGGTAATTAAAGTTTATACGTGAGGCACATTCTGTTCGTCTCTTGCTAGCTGCACTTGGAACAAATTAATATAAGGAGTTGTCATCACTACATGGAGATACGACATAACAGAACTGCTTGGAGCAGAGGTTCTTAAAATGCAAATAACTGGTTTTGCCATTGAAAAGGCATTTTATTTTAACATTTCTCCTTTAGTGCAAATGGCTTTTTCGGCCGATGCTAGCAGCAATCGCTCTTCATTTGACAAGGCTAATGTATCTATCTGGGTTCGAGGCCATTTAATCTCATTTCCATATCAATTCATCTAGGCACAGAAGTCTCCACGATCTCTTGAACACGGTTAGGAAAGCAGCAATTTCCCTCAAGCTCAAAATACTGCCTCTCTCTCCACCTCACTCCCTTCTTTTTAGCATTACATCTGGTTCAAGTTGAACACTACCCATAGTTACCTTCAAACCAGTATTTGAGACCCAGGCTTAGAAGCAAGCTACAAACTCTCGAATTAAAGCTAGCTAGATCTTGCATTCATCTCTGTGTGGATGTGGCTGAAAGCAGACAATGGGGAGGCATTTCAGTGTTAGAAGAGAAACGGGCATGCGAAATGAAAGAGAATTTCCTGTCTCCTAAGAAACGGGGTAACATTTCGTGTACACCAAACCACCAGTTATGCCCACCCAGCATCCGTAGAATGTTTCAGTAGAACTTTGGGACAACTTGGCACGGAGCAGCAGATACTCGAACAGCACGAACCTGACCTGTTAGAATGACTGCTTCGTTTTAGTGAACGAGGGCCAAAAGCAGACACGACGAGGACCTCCTGCGCTTGTCGAAGAACGAGTGTGGAGTTGGTAGCCTGACCAGAAAGTGATACTGTGGAGGAAAGGGTATTTTCACCTTTTCCCTTGATTAATAAGACATGCAAAGCAGCAGTGATTTAGACTGCAGAAAATCCACAGGAGGAAAGGAGTTGCACGCACCCATCCAACACCACCCCGTGCCATGCCCCCACATCAAGCAAACATCTCCACGCAACTGCTTTATAATCTACATTAAAAAATCTGTAGGAAAGCACAACCGCAGAACTCCTACATCATGTCTACTTTGGCCCAGTGCGACATGCATGTTGAGCAGCATTCATCCATTAGAGGATGTGCATCTCCTGAGATCACAGTTATGGGAGCAACAGAGAGAATCTAAACATAGAAAATGAGTCGTGAAATGAAGAGGAACAGCAAGCAAATATTAAAATATGCCATAAGCCAATGGAAATAAAAAAACCAGGAAATTTTACAGAACAGAACAAAAAAATATTGACCGGTTTAAGCTTGAACACTGATATCCGACCACCTCGCTCCTAGAAATTACTGTAATTTTAACCTGGACACAAACAGACAAGGTATTTTGGTTCATTGGGGAGGGGGGGTATAAGTATTTATAAGCATTTGTAAGAAAAAGACTTACAGAAGAAACAATCGTTCTAATGTGATAACGGGGCTACCACCCACCCACATCCTTAATACACATTTTTTTATATGGTGGTACACACCACAAGTCTCTGTCATAAATATGCTGGCTCGTTCCTTTCAAAACTAGTTCGAACATTTGATGTTCATCTTCCCACAGACACAAAGTAGTAAATTGGTCCTCGGCAGAGTCGTTTCCACCCCACCCTTTGACTAATATTCCTTTTGGGGGGCTTTATCTATTCAGAGCACAACCCATAATCCATTCATACCACAGATTAACAAATAACCTGTAAAATTCCAGTTCAGTGTACGGCAAGGGTATATAAAAAAAAAAGAAAAGAAAACACCTTGCCTTTTGTTTCTTAGGTATACAAGACAGACCAAAACATGATCGACACTTCCCTTTGGAATACGAAACGCAGTTTAAAGCAGTGATCTACAGCATCAGTGCCGCCTATAACCCACAGGCACTCAAGAGTGGGTTCAGCGGCATGAGTTCTCAGATCAGCAAGGGTTGGGAATGAACCCACTACTAGCTGAGTGAAAGGGTCACAAATGCACTGGATTAGTCAAAAGACAGGCAACCTACTCTTATCCTTCTGGGACGGAAGGCTACCGGCAACACACTCACTGTTTGGACAAATGTTTTAAGGGAACACCGACGCTTCAGTGTTTCCTGAAAACCATCACCTCTCGTTCCCTGGCACATCCTTGCCAGCAAACGCTCCACCACGACTGCAACCACAGCTTAGTCGCACCCCTGTCAGGACCCCGGGAAAAAAAACCTCTCCCACATAGCCTGCTGCTGTTTTCATTTGGATCGAAGACCACTGGCTTACAAAAATAACTTTCTTTTTTTACAAGGAGCGGTAAACTGAGCAGCTTGGGGAAACCAGGTGCCCCGTTTCCCATTTCTCTTTTATTTTAAACACAATTTTTCTCCCCAAAGTCCTAGTGTATATATGCACAAACAACCCTGTGTCCTGGAGGAGGAGAAGGGGGAAGACATGTAACATGAGATATGGCTACAACGCCATTAAAAGTGCATTGTAACCTACACTGTCTACTTAACAGCCCACTCTTTCTGAGGAGGAGGAGGAGGGGCGACAACTTGGTAACATGCATGTCTCAGTTGCTGAACTTTAAGTTGCTGAAGTTTAAGAGAGTGGAGAATGGCAAAGGAGGAGGACTACTCTCATTTCAGTGACAAAGTGCTTTTCGACAGCTGCCGGGAACCCACGACAGCCTCCCGCCCCCCCACCCCGGACTGGCTGCGCTAACTCAGAGTCCAGAAGTCCTATACAATCTCTGAGGCACTCCCGGTTCCAAGAAACAAAAGGAGAGAGAAAAAAAGAGTCACAATCCAGTAGTCTTTGCGAGAACTGCAGATTGAGAGAAAAAAACTAACCCGTTTCTATTCCTCAGAAAAAAGCCGGAAAAGCTTCATTTTTTTTCCATAGGGATCACATTCACCATTTCCTCTGATCTTCTCAAGACTCACAGTGTTGAAATGGGACTGATCGGCCTACAATGGATTGCACATCACCCAAGGAGAAAGGAAGGCATGGAAAAGGCATATAGTACATCTTATACTGCTTCACTATCACATTGGGGGCGGGGGAGGCAGGAAAGGGGGGGGACGGGGGACGGGACCGTGAGGTTTTATTGCTGTTTCAGTACAAAATATAATAGGATATTCTAAAATGAATTTGAACGAGATCACAAAAAGCCAGGGGTTTTCCACACCGTATTAGGAGAGTAGCTGCTGTTGATGCTCAAAGAGGGGCTGGGGAAAGAGGTGGGGGTGGGGGAAAGGCGGGACGACGAAGCTAAACTTGGGATATCAATTGCATATTGAAACTCGGGGATCGGGATTGCTTGGTCAGAGGAGCTCCCGGCGAGAGGACGTCTTTCCCGTTGCCGGCTTGCCCTAAGCGGTCCTCCTGCAGACTAATAGTCGAAAACCTATTGGAGTTTCCGGCTGCCAAGTTAGTAACACCCTCGCCGCCCATGCCGATGCCGGAACCCGCTTGACTACCGTTCACGTAGTCAAAGGATTTAGTGGAAGAGGCGCTGGCAGTCCGGATCAGGCTCACGCTGCTGGCCTTGGACACCACCTGCCCGGCAGGCAGGCTCAGGTGCTTCTTGGTAGGAGTCATTTCGATCGCGTCCGGACCCAGTTCGGCCGACTGGTGTAGGTACTGCTTGCGGGCGGACTCCCGGGGGCTCTCGCTGGACCTGGTGGCAGAGACGATTTCTTTTTCCCTGGCCGCACGGACGCTCCCTCCTTTCCGTAAGCTGCCCCTCTGGGACGCGGAGGAAAGAGGTTTGGTCCCGACGGGTTGGCTGCTCAGTGAGGCCCCAGATGAAAACCCTTCATCAGCGTCGTTCAGGTTCACGGATTCCTCTCTTCCGTTGATACCGTCAGTGTCTAAAACCCAGAATAAAAAGAACCAGGCTGAGAGACTAACCTGTTTCAGTGCAGGTTTAAGAAGTGTAAAAGATGGCACCAAGGACATTTCTTTACTATTTAGTGTTTTCTGTAGTGTACTAAAAACCTGAATGGGTTGCAGTGTTTTACTAAATGGCTTTAAACACAAGTAAATTCTTTGGGGAAAGCCCCAAATTGAATGTTTGACAGAGCTTCCTGATTTATATAAAAATGGAAGTCTGCTTAACCTACTAGGCAACTATTAACCAAGTTGTATTGAACCAACAACTGGTATTCTGCTAATAGAGAGGAAGAGCTACGATACTTTAACTCAGTATTTCCAACCTCTATTATAAACCTTCATGATTGTTTCTTGCACACATTTGAGTCTGAAACACAGAATGCAGAAGGCATAGAGAGGAAGCCGATGGTACTACTGCAGGGCTCCAGGAGCACCTCGGCAGAATCTACCCCTCTCCTCAAGCTAATGATAGGCAGTCATCCTTCTGTGTTATGGTTTCAGATCAGAGCACCTTAACACTCCCCCTAAAAAGTTTCCAAAAGTGGCAAAAGCCAACATAATTTCAGAAAGCCACTCGCTACGGGAATTGCCACGATCCTGTGGTTAATTTCCAAGCCAAGAGCACCAAGAAATGCACAGCAACAGTCTATGTACCAACATAGTGAGTGGTTTTCAGACTATGTGGAAATTAACAGCATCTTAATTAATGTGACTGTATGGAACTAGCACCGTCAGCATTTACAAAACCCTTCCCATGTAAAAGTGAAAGACGTGGGACTGAGGTTTATAAAAGCATTCCTGTGTCATAATACTGCAATATTATGGGAAGCAGCCTTCTGTGGCTGATGCTGTCCACATGGCACCGCTACAATACTAATAAACCCTCCTGGAAGGCTTTCTTAATCTAGCGCCCCCCCCCCCTTCACATTCTTCATTTCTCTTCCCACCTCCCGGAAAGATTTAAATACTTCAGGCATTTCTTTAATTTAGAAATAAATCCAATACTTAGAGAAGGGAGGGACTAAAAGTTTTAGACCAAAAGGTGCTTGTCGTCTGCTTGTTGTTGCTTTTCTGCTAAACAAATCTGTTGATTTCAGCTTTAGCGATCATAATATTGCCCCATGGACCAAAAGAATGCTTTGGAAACAGCGTGTCTCACATTGTCGCACAATTCTTCCCAACATGTCAAAGGAGACATTTTAAACATAAGCCACTGTGCACATGGTATTCTTCAAAAAGAGGAAAGGGGGGAGCAAAAAGCCGCTTGATACATACCTAGAACAGAACCCCCTGAAAGCAAAAGCACCTCCCTTTCATCAGATACAGCTGTCAAATTTCGTACACCATGCAAAGCTGGATGACAATGCGTTTGGCTGAGCAGCTGATAGCAACACCGCCTCTCTCCACCCTTCCTTGGTCTAATGGATACCCTCCCCCCCCCCAGCCGGCATGGAGAGAGGCCGCTGAACTACACGGGCAAAGCTCTCTCCCCGTGAAGAAATTAAGGCCGCAGCCCAGCCTGCAAAAGGCTCGAGGAGAGATGGCACGGGACTGGCAAGATGGCCAACCTGAGTTAACACGTTTGAGAATGGAATGCGGCTGGAAAGTATCCATTGGAACTCGGACAGGGAGTCAGAGAGGCTCGGCCGTGAGCTTTTTGGGATGCGGCCACCATGCAGAGGCCCAGGTAGCTCAAGAGCACTCAGGTGTGGAAGGGAAAACATGCAGGGTGGTACCTTTCGAGCCAGATTCCAGACACTCTCAGATGAGGCTTCAGAGCAGCTCCACTTCACTAAGCACATATTAAACACACACCTTTCAGTTTATTCCACATCCACCTTTCTTACTCCACCTCCGTCCCTGATCAGACCATGGCCAATGCTCCCTCTAAGCTGTGGAGTCTTGTGAGCAAAAATTCTATTTGGGGAGCCTGCTGGCATGAAAGTTGTGAGCGGGCGATTTGGCCGCCGCATAAATCAGATTGCTCTGGAGCCCTCCTTCCTGAGCTAAGACAAAAAGGTGTGAGCTGGAGGCTAAAAAACTGTGAGCCAACTCACACTAACTCAGCTTAGATGGAACATTGGGGCACAGACCATTCTCCTCACCCCCGGAAAAAAAGTAACAACTTTAGCACCCTGAAATGCTGGTACCTAGCAAAACACCTGCCGTAGTTTTTCCTCTTCCCTTCTGTGTGTGGTGCATCAATGTACTGCAAGCGTTACTTTGAACGGTAAACTTCTTTGAACGCAATGGCAGAAAGGCAGGATACAAACATATCCAATAAATAAAGGACAGAATCGGAACACTAAACCATAAACCAACCAAACCTTTATCGTACTAAAATGACCGAGGGGTGGGGGTGGCTCTTTCCGTTTCTACTTTAATCAACTTTTTAGCCCAGTGACCACAAATTATATGGGCTACGAGTCTACTGCCGCTGCCCGGTAGCAGATCACCACACTCTCTCTAAGACATACCCTTCTTGCAACAATCCACTCCTGGCTAACTCACAGACTACTTCTGTAAATTAATCCCATGGGTTGGACCAAAAGGTGGTTTTCTGCCACTGTAAGACACACCCACGGAGCAGAAGGGGGCAGCGTCCGCCCCACCACTACATGGACGCTCTTTAACCCAGCTCCTTAGGATCTGCCCTCCCTCACCCCCAGCCTCCAGGGCAGCGTCCAGAGCAGATTGGTAGGCTGCAGCAGGAAGTGGACAGCTGGGAAATTTCTCTTCCGTTGGCAGAATCCCATTGATAATATTGTGGATCCAACCCAAAGAACGTTAACTTTTCTGCAAATTTCTGTAATTCTTTATAATCACAGGCATTAAAAAAAAACCTAGAATGTCAGAAATGCATGTCTAAGAAATATCATTTTGTTCCATTTTTACATTACGTGCCACATCAGGAGTAATTACCAATTCGCCGAATCACCGAATCATAAGCGTTGGAAGGGACCTCCAGGGTCACCTAGCCCGGCCCCCTGCACAATGCAGGAAATTCACAAATACCCCCCACATCCCCAGTGACCCCTGGCTATATGCTCAGAAGAGGGCAGGAAAAAACCCACCCTCCAGGATCTCCAGCCAAAGTGGCCGGGAGAAAAATGGCTTCCTGACCCCAACGTGGCGACCAGCATTTCCCTGGGCGTGTAAAGAAAGGGCCACGAGAACTAAGCTCTGATGCGACCCTTCCTGCCCTCCCTTCTCATGATCTGCCTAATTTCACACAGCACTGCTGTCAGAAGGCCATATAGCCTCTGTCTGAAAACCACCAAAGGAGGGGAGAGTTTTCTGTTAGGCCGGCACCAGTTTAGGTTATCGATATGCAGTACAGTAGAAATCTGGGAACATGCTCCGTTCCCAATCGAGCCCAAACTCTCTCAAGGTCTCCTTCTGTCCCAGAATGGCATCCCACCAAGTCCTCGGGTTTTCTATGGCCAGACCCACAGTTTGGCATTATTCGCTTCCATCTGTCCGGCATCCACGATGGATGATGCACACTCCACAACAAAGCCCATATGGCCTTGTTGTTGTTGTTTTTTAAGATGACTGCCCTGTTTCAAAGTGTGAAAGGCAGGGAGGGAGCGGCACATCCTCGGCGAACCATTTAAAAAAAAAGAAGAAGAAGATCCTCAGCAAAAGTGAGGACTTCCTCGGCATCCTTCTGGTCATGCACATGCACAGTGTTTCGTTAGTACAATGAAGTAAGACCAGATGGGACAGGGGGTTGGGAAGAGTTGACGTTGAGGCTCTTAGGTACTGAGCATGCTCTATTCTGAAGCAGGCTCTAAGACCGCTCGATGTTTTCAGCGTCGCTTTCCACCAACGCCTGAGATCCTGACTCTGCCCCTCCCCCCACAAAACTTCCAATCACGCATGATCGGCTCACGTGTACTGCGCGTGTTCATGCTAGAAGGATCTTGGGATGTTAATCTTCCTCTGGGTGATCTGTGAAGCACGTGCAGGATATAACTGTCAAGTCCCGGGTTGTTAAAAGTGACGACAAGAGCGGTTAGCGAGGCCAGAAGACTGCGCCAAGAAAAGGGGCAAAAGGTTGCGGAAATAGCTTAGGGGAGATGCAAGTGACAGTAAAATTTCCATATAATTTTTACGGAAATTAAAAGATCCCTCCACCAGCATCGAGGGGACTGTATCCTGATGACATGCGCTGCCTTGGAAAGACAACCTCTCGGTAAAGAGGAAAAGTTGAGAGGTTACGTAAAATAAAAGAATAACCTGAAGAATACCACTGTATAAGGCTGTAAGAATTTCCCCTCCAAGTTTGGCTGATTCTATAGGACAGTCTGGTTGTAGTCACAATCTCATGACTAGAATACCTGGGTTGGCCACTGAATTCATTTTTAAGAAACAGCTGAATCGCTGAGAGACAGCCCACTCCAACGAGTCTCAGATGAGATGATAAAATATTTCGGCGCGCTAGAAAGCTGGAGTTCGGCAGGAATTTTCTTTTCTTGCAAAAAGTGTTCTTGTGCCCCCTAAATGGATCCCCATTTCGCAAAACGATCTCAGCGTGTTTGTTTGGCAAGTCCTCGCATTTAATGAACACGCTAAGGAATAGGGCTTCTCCAAACCATCCCAAAGCCGACAGGGACAGCCGATGTTCCCTCTAAGCTGTGGAGTCTTTTGAGCAAAAATTCCACTTTGTGAGCTACTGGCATTACAGTTGTGAGTGAGTGATTTGGCTACCGCATAAATTAATCTGCTCTGGAGCCATCCCTTCCTGAGCTAAAACAAAAAGGTCAGAGCTGGAGGCGAAAAAAACTGTGAGCCAGCTCACACTAACTCAGCTTAGAGGGAACACTGGGGACAGCCCTTGGCCAGATTTTAATCGTGCCAAGCTAAGTGTCTTAACACTGGCTCAGAATCCCTCAGGGTAACGAAAGGGAGCTCCCAGTGTGGTGCTAGACATGACGGAGGGGAGAGGGGCAGAAACATGTGGCACACAGGCAACGGACAATACGCTTTGGGATAGCGGAAACGTTCGAGAACGGAAGGGGATTCTGATTGGGAATGGGCAGCCGAGCTCCCCCCCCCACTGACTTTTGCTTCCTCCTCTCTCTCCTACCCTCTGCAGTGGCGGCTGCCAAGTTGGGCTCCGGTGAGCCATGCTCAGGGGTCCTGAGCACCAGGATGTCCCCCTCTTGCTTGCGTTTAATCCCTAGGTCTGTGGAGCCGGGAAGGACCGGGGATCCGGGAATGCTCAAGTCATCGTTTGAGAAGTCAAAGCCATCTGGGATTCAACATATAATATTTTAGTGCTTTTCTACTCTTCCCCCCACCCCCTTCTGAACATCCAAACCCAGGCCAGGGAAATCTTGTACACAGAAACTGAAACACGCATCGGCACGTTTCTAGACAACAGCGTCAGCGGCACACCACAGGAATAAGGAGATATGCTGTAGAGTATACAAAGAGACTAGCACACAACATGTCAGCGATGAGGACACACATGACCAAGGATTTGCAAAATGGTAGTACTTGTTTTTAGGGTTAGGCAGCCAGAGAAGAATGCAAAAATAGATATATTATTTTGGTACAACTTTAGTATCAAAGAAAAGGCCCAGGAACAGCTACATTTTAAGAATTTCAGTTTTATGCTTTAATGAATGCTACATATGAAATGGAAAGGATCTTAATTATTATGTTGTTCAAGAGACTGAAAAGGCTACCATGTTCATCTTTTTCTTTGTCATTTTGCTGACGACTGAATATCATACCAAAGCCTTAGTCAGAAGGCAGCACATAATGAAGAGTGAAAAAGGTTCCTAAAGTTGGTTAGACACATTATTATGGGCACTTCCAATTTCAGTTAAGAGTCTGAATATGGTACTAGACAATATGTATTATATAAACTTACAAGGGTTAGGCAAAACGAAAGTGCCTGGGAAATTTTGTCAATAAAACTCGCAATTCATACCTCCCAGTTCCACCCCTCACTGTGCAGCCCCCGATCCATGGGGAGGAGGGGTTGCCACCGGGAATACCCTTCCCCCGGGAAACACCTTTGGGGTCATTTAAGGCTGCAAAAGTAAGGGGCTCGGGGGAAATCCACTTCTGTTGGCAGAATGATGGTAAGGCACAAACTATAGCTTAACATGTGAATTCCCTTTTTGTCCTTCCATTGTGCTTTTAGAATCTGAAACATCATTAGATATGTATTGCCGTCTTGTACTATGAAACCTTCAGAAGACAGAGGGGCTTGATTTTAAGGTACTTTGTGGGTGCAGCTTCCCCGTGAACTGCAGGAGGCAAAAGTGAGTCACTTCAGACGCCAAAGAGGCACCGAATATTGAGAAGGGGTGTCAGCAATTCTGAGTTCTAGTCCTGCAGCAAATTCTTCTGCCACCGAATACCATTCAAGTCATTCTAGGTTTCACCACACTATAAAATAAGGGCAATACTTACCTCCCTCCAAAGAGCGTTGTTGTGATGATTACCACTTCTCACACATACAACACAAGGAAAAATTATCAGCACTCTGTGCGTTACAGAAACAGACACTAAGATTCAAGCCCAGAAAACCATTTGTAGCAATGGAAATGGAAGAATGTTCTGCTACGCTAGCTTCTTGGCATCGGGTTAGAGCTTACCTTCTCTCCTCCAGCGGTGTCGGCGGATCGAAGCGGTGGTAATGGCGGTCCGAGAGATCCTCGGCACTGTCGGGGTCACCTCTACCTTCAGCACTTTCTGCCCTCCTTGGGATGCGTCAGGAGCGTCAAAGGGCAAGGAGTTCTTCATAGCATTTGCAACCTATGACGGCAACGAGAGGCAGATGAGACAAGACGGGAAGAAGAGAGAATACAGAACGCTGTTCTCAATTTAACAGCAGTCCCAGGATCTACACTTTTATGCACTTAAAGAGTATATCTTCTACAGTTCCGCAGGGCCTGCAAGATGGAGCTCTTCCACCAGGCTTTCAGTTAAGGAGCCGCCACTACTACAGAGCCCTGGCCCTCGGGCCTGACATCTAGCCTACGCCGCCCGTATAGCAAAAGATCATGAGCAGAAGGATTCCTAGATCTCCGGGCACGTTGTTAAAACGCGCCATCGTAAATAATTAAACGACCCTCGCCAGCACTTTATGAACTTGATTGCATATCTGTATCGTTTTTAACAATTTTATTTTTATATAATTGTTTATATAATTATTTTATATAACAATTTATATAATTGTTATATATAATTATGTTTATATAACAATTTATATAATTGTGATTTATGTGTCAACTTAGATTTGACTGATGTGAGCCGCCCTGAGCCTGCTTTGTGGGAGGGAGGGGTACAAATTAATAAATAAATTAAATATTTGCCCTTGTACAAGTAAGACAGTTGCATCAGTCATTTTCTACAGGCTTTTCTGCGCAGGTAAGCGGGGCGCTATACAAAACAGTTTGCAAAACTTCCTCGGATAATTTTTTTTTAATTCAGTTTTTCAACCCCTCTCCCCCAGGAAACCAGGCTCAGAGCGGTGCACAACACAGTCATAAAACATCAATTAAAATCAGGTTAAGACCAATAGCAAACAAAAATACAGCTAGAGAAAGCACAAAGAACCAGTAACGATGCTCTCTCACAGCGCAGGGCTCTTTTTTTTTTTTGTATAAAGATTTTATTGACTCCCCTAAAAAGGGGAGGAGTTTCGCTTAAAAAGAAAAATAGGGAAGGTATATAGTGGGACGAAGAGAAAGCTGAGTGATCTATTAACTGTTAGATTAAACTGTTAGTAATGTCCAATCATCAAAGGCTTCTTCTGCGTGTTGTCAAACATCTTTTTTCCATTCCAGTTACTTTCTGTGTTAGTATGTTAGTAATGTTCCTTTGAATTTCTGTTAAAAAGTCTCTTCAGGGCACATTCAAAACCGCTTCTTTTACGTGCTGGTTACTTTTCCACTCTCAGTGACGGGAGGGGCTTCCTCTGTTTTTCTCTCCCTCCGGCTTCTTCCCCTCCTCCTTCGGGTCGCTGTTAACTCTTTCAGTTCCTGTGCTATAAGTCGTCTTCCTTTCATGCCATGCCCGGAGATCTCCAGCTTTGAGAATGGTATTAATTTCAATTTCGCTTTTATCCGCTCCCAATCTCTTCGCTGGATTCTCCTCTTCAATTGTTGACTTTTATAAGCGCTCATGAGGCACTTGTCGCTGTCACAATTCAAACTTTTCTTTTCCTTCACAATCCCCGTTGGATTCATAGCCATACACAGTCCAAATATTAAACAGCCGGCACTCACGTTGACACAAACGCCCAGACGGAAGTCCCTCCCTTCTCCCCCGCTTGTCTTTACCCAGCTCCGACATCTTTTTTTTATTATTTTTAATAAAGTTCTTAAAATGCGCTCCAGAGAAACAAAACCTTTTCTTGCTTATTTTCAAGTACATCAAAGGAAAACATCACTATTCGCTCAGTCCATTCCCCCCCTCTTTTCTTTTCTTTTCTTTTCTTTCTCGCTTATAGAGGATTAACCTCCTCCTTTTCCGCTGAAGGGGGGGGGAAACGTTCTTAGTTCATTTTCTCTGTATTTTGACAACTCACAGTTACGCCAGTCTTTTCTTTTCCATTTTTTTTCCGGATATTCGCTTCATCACTCGGTGACGCCCGGTGGTTCCGCTAAACCCCGTAGAACGGGGTCGCTCACGCAGCAAGGTCCAAAGGGGCAGGGCATGGCGAGAGTCTCAATCTCCGATCTTTCGACCGAAAGAGAGACTCCCCCCTGGAACGCCCTAAAGCGCCCCAGATCCGAGCTCCTCTCATCTGAGGGGCTCGTTCGGATCTCCGCTTGCGCGGATTCAGCGCAGGGCTCTTTTTGTAGCAGGAACTCCTTTGCATATTAGGCCACACACCCCTAATGTAACCAATCCTCCAAGAGCTTACAGAGCTCTTCTTACAGGAGCTACTGTAAGCTCTTGGAGGATTGGCTACATTAGGGGCATGTCGCTTAATATGCAAAGGAGTACCTGCTACACAGGAGAGGAGGGGGATCGGAGTGCCAACATGGAACTGTCACTGTCCTCAACTGAACACCTGGTGGAACAGCTCTGCCTTGCAGGCCCTGCGGAACTGTAACAGGTCCTGCAGGGGATGGATGCTGTCTGGCAGAGAGTGCCACCAGCATCTTGAAGACCAACAAAATGTATTCTAGCATGGGCTTTCTCGAGGCAGCGCCCGCTTCATCCAATGCATAAAGTGTTCATCTAAAGTGGCTAAATTTATACTTTAAAATTATGCTTGAACCTCTCGAGAGCTCCGTTCCCATTTGTCCGAGTGAAGAGCATGTCATCAACAGTGCTCCCTCTAAGCTGTGGTGTCTTGTGAGCAAATGTTGTATTTTGTGAGCTACGGGCATTAAAGTTGTGAGCGAACGATTTGGCTACTGCATACATTTGCTCTGGAGCCATCCCTTCCTGAGCTAAGGCAAAAATGTGTGAGCCGGAGGCTAAAAAACTGTGAGCCAGCTCACACTCACTCAGCTTAGAGGGAACGCTGGTCAGGGGATGCCAGTTGCTGAATACTCTAAAGATCAGAGCAGGGGCCAGCCACCTTTTATCGTCAAAGGGCCAAACTGTATCAAAATTAAGAGCAAAATTCAGATCAACACAGAGCCAGTGTCAGGAAACCCGTTTAAACAACTGAATCCATACAACCTAGCATCTCTCCTTATATATAATTGAATAGTGGGTGCCAAAGTTCTAATTCTAAAATGCACTCCCTTAGTGTATGGCTGATGGCACTGCTCCTCAGCATATATCGCCACCAATCAGAAGGCAAAGCCCGGGTCCCGCCCACACCACAACTGCTGCGACAACCTGGTCTTTTGCATATGGAAGCTGATTGGACTTCACTCCATTCCACACCTCAAACCCCCCCCCCCCGCAAGGCAGTTGGGATTTTCAGTTGCATAACATACCTCATAGGGCTGTATTCTGGTGGTGTGCAGGTCCCAGGTTCATGTTTTAAAAGCAGACTGACACTGTTTGCCCAAAGCCAGAGCACTCTCCCAGAGCCTCTTTCTAGATCTCGTTGTATTTATTTCCACAACGGGCCTTATTTCTAGTTACTAATAACTGACAGGCTGATTTGTCGTCCAGATTAGCAGCCCAAACACAGGTGTTTGCAAACCCTTCATTAGGAAGCTGCCCACAAGGTCTGACAATAAGTCACGAATATACAAGGAGTGGCTGGTGTGGTTGTTCTAGTGCACTGGCACAAGTCTGTGCATAATTCGCACTTGGATTACTGGCAATGGTTCATCTCTGACACTTCCCTTTCTGTAAAGCAGAAAGAGCCTTTTCGTCTCAAATCTTCGCCAGCCGTTCCCTTCACATACTGGCTGCATTCTAGCATCTCAGTTACGTCTTTGATATACCTTAACATTGGGATTGAATTTTCTTTTCTTTTTTAAAGAGCCATATTTGGTTCTAGGTTGAGCTGCATATCAGGCTCAAGAGCTTTTGGGTGCTGCAGCCTCCGGGATTAGCAGCAGAGGTGGTCCGGGCAGGATGCACTTAACGGGAGGCAAAATCAGTGCTGCTAAAGTCTGTTCTTGCAGCAGTCTCATAATTACCTAGCTTTTAAGAACTAGCGTTATTATTTTTTTCCAAAGGAGAGCTGAGAGTCATATCTTGGCAATCAATTTTTTATCTTTCCAATAGATGTGGTTAAACGGCTGTCTTGATGAATTGCTTTGGGTGACTTAGCTGTTACTTTCAGGTGGGATAATTTAAATGCTTCTTACCTGGTGAATTATTGGAACAGCGACTTCCTGCAGGAAATGATGATTAAATGTGCTGCTAGGCTGGAAAAGCTAAATGGCCAATTGAGCCTGCTTGAAAGGATTCCTTGGAGACCAGCAATACTGTAAAGCCTGCAGGCGGGTCAGTATTTGAATCTGGTTCTCACTCATGCCGAAAACTGAATAAACGAACCCAACAAAATCTGGTTGCTGTTCCTGTTTGGTTTGTCTTACTTTATAATGCTAGCAGGAGAAAAAATGTCTTCTCCTTTTGTACATGTCTGTCGGTTTTCTCCCAACTCATCTTTTTTTTTACTTTACACTGCTCTGTTTTCCTTTAAAATCTCTTCCTCCTTCAGCCTTCTCATAATGGAGAAACCCAGAATGCCTTAACACCCCAGCGTCACCCCCCCATAGGTTCTCCAAAATAGTAGCCTAGTTAAAGATAGATGGATTACCTGCTTAATGACTTTCAAATACCCTGGTTTCTCTTCAGATCACACACATCTTTTTGCCTTTTACTAAAGATCGCATACTAATGACCTTCGATTCTAACTTGAATATGGACGCTGGAGCAGAGCTTGTAATAAACCCAGATGCCAACTTTGCTGCCATAAACACCCAGACAATACAATCAATGGACCTAACATCAACTATACTATCTCAGGCTTATTCACTTTCTCGTCTAACATTGTAAATGCCATTAAATGCCCACAGTGCCCTTCAGTTCTCTTCACAGGGCAAACAGGTCAAACCCTATGCCAAAGTATAAATGGACACAAATCTGACATCAAGAATCACAAAACGGAGAAACCTGTAGGAGAACATTTCAACCTCCCAGGGCACTCAGTGGGGGATCTCAAAGTAGCTGTTTTATTGCAAAAGAATTTCAGAAACAGACTGGAGTGGGGGATTGCTGAATTACAAGTTATTACAATGGTCAGGACAATGGCGTCCCCAGGGCTTAACAAAGATATTGGCTTCTTATCTCATGACACATGCTAAGTCATTCAGTTCTCGTTTATACCCAGAATTAAACTTGTTGGTCTTAAAGGTGCCACTGAACTCAAACTTTTATTATCTTTTATTATCTATATGCCAATTTGCTGCTATGAGCAGGTCTTACCAAATGCATCATTCAAATCTTAGCTGTATTTATTGCTCAGTTACCTTGACTTTAATTAGCCCTTCCTGGCAACTAACACCCCCCTGGGTTTGCTGTCCTGGCAATTCATCGCTCGCTCAGAACTTTAATGCCAGTAGCTCACAAAGTAGAATTTTTGCTCACGAGACTCCACAGCTTAGAGGGAGCATTGCCCCTGACCTAAATATGCCCCCCCCTCCGGCGAAATGACATAAAATTAAAAGAAAGGCATGGAGAGTGATGGCAGAGGTACTTGTCACAGACCTCTTATACGAGGAGGCCTTAGCCAAATGCGCCCCTTCTCAAAGTCGCATTCCGCTAGTTTGTCCTCTCTGTTGAGAAGAAGTTCTTGTCGTTACACGTAAATGCAGACAGTCACAGGCAGAATGTAGGTAATACGAAGACAAGCAGATATGTAACACAGTTCCATGTTCATTTCCATTTTCAATCACCTTCTCTCTCTCTCTCTCTCACACACACACACACACACACACAACCTTAACCCGCACGGCAATTCCACTGCAGCTACTTCTGGACTAACCAGAGGGCACTACGCAGAGGGCCAGTCAACGAACACCCATGTTCCGATTCATGTCTAAAAGACTCCTAAAACATCAACGGCCACAATGTGGAAATGTTCAGATGCACCTACACTTACCTAGTGGCCTCATAAGTTATGGGAAATTTATATAAAAGACAAAATTACCCATCAAGTGCATAAATATGAATCTCATCCAGCTTGTTCTGATTTTGTTGAAGTTCGGTTCATTGCACTAGAGTATTTGGGGCAACCTGAAGTGGTCCCGAAGAACTTAAACATGCTGTATGGTATTGCTTTGTTTACACAGATCTGGTGTTTGGTGACTTATTATGATAATTTGTAAACAGAACCATTTTGAGTTAGTAGTATGTAATATACATATGGTTCATAAAACACTTTAAAATAAAGACCCCCTAACTTCATCGCAAGTGGGAGTGGCTTATCAGCTGTGGCTGAGAGCGGCCAGGTATGCTTGTAGGTAGGCTAGGCTGCCTCGCCTTAGTGCAAAAGAATTCCACCAACACAGCTGCTGCTCCCACTGGGGTGAGGACTGGGAGACAAGGCCAAAGTCCCTTCCCGATTCCCACTTAAGGGGGAGCTATGGCAGCCAGTGTTCCCCCTAAGCTGAGTTAGTGTGAGCTAGCTCTCGTTTTTTTAACCTCCAGCTCACACAGTTCTGCTTTGCTCAGGAAGGACGGCTCCAGAGCAAACTAATTTATGCAGCAGCCAAACTGCTCGCTCACGACTTTAATGCCAGTAGCTCACAATGCAGAATTTTTGCTCACAAGACTCCACAGCTTAGAGGGAGCACTGATGACAACAGCAGCAGACAGCGAAGCAGGGGTGCTAGGGGAAAGCAGGGTATGGAGCCCCACGGCACGGCATTCCCAGCCGCCCCACTCACATGCCTCACTCTAGTTGTCTCAGAGCAGGAAGTCAGTTGGTGGTGGTGGAAAGCGCCATCAAGCCCCAGATCACTTTCTGCAACCCTTTAGGGCGGAGGTGTCAAACTAATTTGTTACGAGGGCCGGATCTGACATAAATGTCACTTTGTTGGGCCAGGCCACGTGTGCCATAAAATGTAATGCCAGGTACCAGAGGTATAAACTGTATAAAGGACAGCAGCTGGTAAGCTCCATGTTTTATCCTCACTGCAAGGCCCCATGGGCTCAGAGGGGGGTGTAAAGGAAAACCCATATGGTTTTTGGCACTGTGGCACTGGGCAGACACTCCCACGCTGCTTGAATGCTGCAGATGAGGTTGTTCCGTCATGCTGAAGCCACAATCGGAGTGTCTCTACCCCCCCCCCCCCGCGCGTCTCACCCCCCCCCCGAGTAGTCTCCTGTTCCCTCCCTTGCGCTAGTTGCTTGCGGGCCACATAAGAGCCCTGGAGGGGCCAGTTCCGGCCCCCGAGCCTTATGTTTGACACCCCAGACTTAGGTTTTTCCAGGCAAGAGAGGGTCAGAGGTGGCTTTTGCCATTGCCTGCCTCTGCGTTGTGACCCTGGACTTCCTCAGTGGCTTCCCATCCAAATACTAGCCGGGGCCGACCCTGCTTAGCTTCTGAGATCTGATGAAATCGGGCCATCCTAGGCTACCCAGGCAAGGAGGTTAGCTAGCAGTAGTTAACACAAGGCATTCAAGCTGCAAAGTCCTGTGCCCGCTCAGCAGTTGCTAGGACAGGACTCCTTCCTGTACCACAGCCAGAGTGTGCACACATGCATTCACATGCCTCTCAACGGAGTGCCGTGGCAGAGCATGGGGAGCACACCCCGATCCACCTCCAAGCTTCCTGCAATCAGTCAAATGTTCTGCCCACCTCTGGCCTTTCATTCCTACTTTCTGGGAATAAATAAGCCTGTGCTATAGAGCCCACAGCATAGCTTCAGTTCCCAAGTACCAGAGTTTAAGTGGCAAACGCACACTGTTCCTGTATGCTGCTGCATCCCGGATGGATGGCTAGATTTTGGAACGCTTCCCGACACATCACACAAGCCTTAACACACGCAGAACCGGGCATATGTACATTTTCAACCGTTTCAAGAGAAGGCAGTCGCTTTTCCCTTACCAACAGTGGCTGAGAATAGAGCTCAAGCTGCGCTCTGTAAATTATGTCATCCAGGGCTTCCTGGCCGAGTTCCCACTGTCCGTTGTACCTACATATGGATAAGGCAGGAGCAAAAAGGAGGAATTATTTTCTTGAACTTCAGCCTTGTCCTTGCTGTATACCTTTGCTACATAGATATTTGCTAGAATTTCGTCAAAAATTAGCCTACGAAAAGCAATCCAGTGTTCCAAGCCACATCCTCCTTATACTTCCCCCAACCAGGACAGTATTCATTAGTAACATTATAATACAGTAGCACTTATCTAAAGTTAAAGATATTATTTTACCAGAGAACACTGAAATTAAATCCCACATTCTGTCAGCCCGGTAGAAGCACATCACACAAATGCTATTCTCACAAAGAACGACAGCGGACTGCGCGTTAAAATATTCAAACAGGGGGTTAATTCAAGTGCACACGTCTTTCGTTACTGGGTTTTAACACATAAATACACACGGCTACGTGTACTCACAAAACATCTAATTAGCAGTAGGGGGGGCACAGTCTTCTTTCTACAAGGTACGCGGGTTGTGATTCGTCTAAAAAGAGAGGAAGCCAGAAGTGCAACGCTCTGGGGTGGTATACAAGAGAGCTGATTTACCCTGGGGTAAAGATATTCACAAAACCCTGACTGAAGTGGTAGAGCCGGGATGAGGGGAATCGGGCAATCATAAAATCAGGGGAGGGGCCGTGGCTCAGTGGCAGAGCACCTGCTTCGCACGCAGAAGGTCCCCAGGTTCAGTCCCCGCCATCTCCAGTTGAAAGGACCAGGTGGTGAGTGAAAGACCTCTTTCTGCCCGAGACCCTGGAGAGCCGCTGCCAGTCTGAGCACAAATACTGACTTTGATGGAGGGTCTGATTCAGTATAAGGCAGCAGTTTGGTGCAGTGGTTAAGAGTGGCGGACTCTAATCTGGGAGAACCGGGTTTGATTCCCCACTCCTCCGCTTGCAGCTGATGGATGACCTTGGGCAAGCCATAGTTCTGCCAGAGTTGTTCTCTCAAGGACAGTTCTGGAAAGAGCTCTCTCGGCCCCACCCACCTCACAGGGTGTCTGTTGTGGGGAGGGGAAGGGGAAGGAGTTTGTAAGCCACTCCGAGTGAAGGGTGGGGTATGAATCCAATCTCTTCTTCTCTTCTCTTCATCATGTGTTCGATGGCAGCCAGCATCCAATGCCTAAATGACCATGCTGGACACAAATATATTCCAATTCAGCTGAAAACCGGGGTCTCCTCTTGCCTGACCCCCAGATACTCACACAGCATAATAAACTCCGGTGAGGAGTTGCACCATGAAGTCCGGATCCAGGACTACTCTACCACACTCTTCCTTCCAGCATTTTTCATGTTGCCGAGGAAACCCACTGACACAGAGCCTAGCAAGACGTAATAAGAGCATTTGAGAAAGAAAATACAATCTTGACCTTACGAACACTTTGAGCAAACAAGTTTTCAGACAGTCAATTACACACCTGGCATAATCAGAGTATAAAGATTAATCTCCAAAAGAGACTGCCTTGATGATTTTTTAAAAAAAACTGCTATGTTGTTCATATGAATTGTCTTCTCTTCAGAGACGCATCTTCAAGGGGATGAATCATAAAATTTCATAGCGACACCAACAAAAAACAGGCCCAGAAAATATATATATACTTCAACATTTCAAGAAGGAAAATCCTATTTACCTGCTTTGCAGAATCGTGCAAGTTGCAACTGCCTGTCTGTTGTTGGGTTTTTTTTAACCATCCTGCTTACTATTAATTCTACGTGGTCAAGGATCCCCAGGGTTAAGCACACACCCTGAGAAACATTGATCACGTCCCCCAGGAGGGTTTTCAGATGCTGTCCCCACTGGATCCTGGATCCAATGAACAATTCATAGTTCAAAGATGCAGTTTGATTTTTTTTTTTTTAATCTATTTAACCAGGGCTATTTTTGGGCAGGAACGCACAGGAACGGAGTTCCGGCTGGCTCCCGAGTTGGCCACACCCAGCAGGAACTCATTAGCATAATAGGTCACACCCAACAGCAGAAACTCATTAGGATTGGCTACAGTAGGGGTTTGTGGCCTAACATGCAAAGAAGTTCCTGCTACAAAAAAAGCTCTGGGTTTTGACAACAAACAAGGTAAACAGAATAAGAAGCAAAAGGTGGGTGTGGCTGGATGACCACACTTCTGGTAACAGGGGGGTTGGCCTAATGTGCTAATGAGCTGTGCTGTCGGGGGTGTGGCCCAATATGCTAATGAGTTTCTGCTGTTGGGTGTGGCGTATTATGCTAATGAGTTCCTGCTGGGCTTCTTCTACAAAAAGAGCCCTGTAACAGAAAAAATTACAGGGGGTCCCAGACTATTTCTGTTTCTTGGTCTTCTATGACAAATTAAGTCAAACAAACCAAAAATGAACAAGCATATGCCAGGAGGATTTTCAGATGCTGTCCCCACTGGATCCTGGATCCAATGAACAATTCATAGTTCAAAGATGCAGTTTGAATTTTTTTTTTAAATCTATTTAACAGAGAAAATTGCAGGGGGTCCCAGACTATTTTTGTTTCTTGGTCTTCTATGACAAATGAAGTCAAACCAACAACAACAAAAAATGAACACATTCAATTGTGGCCACAAAAAACACACAGTTATTTCATTTCTAAATCAATCGCAACAAGTACAAGATGTGGAAAACTAAACTTTGTATGTTGATTAAGAACACCATCGCTAAAGTTTCCCCCTCAAGGGTATCAGGAATACAGTTCTCACCTGGAGCCCATCCTACAAAGCGACTGATAGGAAGAGGCGGGCATGTAGACAATGGCGGAGTTGTAGCACAACATGAGAAAACTCAGCACCTCAAACCTAAAGACGGGGGTGGGGAGAAAAAAAAATAAAAGACTGAGATTGCTATGATTGTGCTACAAGATATTTGCATCGATAGGCCCAAACAGATTGTATATCTCTTGCTTCGTTCCACTTGGGTTTGGAATAGAGGCCTTACAAGTCGCAGGCCCATGAGGAATCATATAAGGGGGGCAAACTATTTGGAAATCCCACTCCATCCACTATAATTACCCCCTCCAGAACAGCATAGTCTTTAAGAGCAATGGACTCTAATCTGGAGAACCAGGTTTGGTTTTGAAATTGGAATTGAAAACAAATCAACCAGTATCATAACGCCCCTGTATAAATCGATGGTACGTCCTCATTTGGAATACTGTGTACAGTTCTGGTCACCACACCTCAAAAAGGCTATTATAGCATTGGAAAAGTGCAGAAAAGGGCAACTAGAATGATAAAAGGGTTGGAACACTTTCCCTATGAAGAAAGGTTAAAGCGCTTGGGGCTCTTTAGCTTGGAGAAACGACGGCTGAGGGGGGACATGATCGAGGTTTATAAGAGTATGCATGGGATAGAGCAGGTAGAGAAAGAGGTACTTTTCTCCCTTTCTCACAATACAAGAACTCGTGGACACTACATGAAATTGCTGAGCAGTCGGGTTAGAAAAGATAAAAGGAAGTACTTCTTCACTTAAAGAGTGATTAACACATGGAATTCACTGCCACAGGAGGTGGTGGTGGCTACAAGCATGGACAAGCTTAAAGAGGGAACTGAATAAACATATGGAGCAGAGGTCCATCGGTGGCTATTAGCCACAAGGTATAGATAGGAACAGGCTGGGGCAGGTGATGTACTGTATTCTTGGTGCTTGGGGGGGGGGTCAACAGTGGGAGGGCTTCTAGTGTTCTGGCCCCACTGATGGACCTCCTGATGGCACCTGGTATTTTTGGCCACTGTGTGACAGAGTGTTGGACTAGAAGGGCTATTGGCCTGATCCAACATTGGCTTCTCTTATGTTCTTATGGTTCCCCACTCCTCCACATGAAGCCAGTTGGGTGACCTTGGGCCAGTCACGGTTCTCACAGAGCTCTCTCAGCCCCACCTACCTCACAAGGTGCTTGTTGTGGGGAGAGGAAGGGGAGGAGATTGAAGCTGCTTTGAGATTCCTTAAGGTAGAGAAAAGTGGGGTTAAAAAAACCCTACTCTTCTTCTTCATATAAATCTCAGGGCTTCAGCACACCAATTTCCCCTCCCCTGATTTTTGGGTCCCCCCCCCCCCTTCCCGCTCTCTCTCTCTGAGCAAAGCCCCGCAGAAGTCGCCAGAACATATAAAACCCCCTGGGTGACCTGTTTTTTTTCTACTTTTATATGTGACATTAGCCACCCACTTTATTATTAAATATACTGATTATTTATTTAGTGCATTTTCCCCCCATGCCTCCTCCAAGAAACTTAGAGCAGCATCCGTGGTTCTGTCTTCGATTTTATCCTCGCAGCAATCTTGTGAGGTAAATTAGGCTGAGCAAGAATTACTGGCCTGAGGTAATCCATCATGTTTCGTGGCAAACTGGGACCTGAACCCTGGTTACCCCAATCCTACCCAACAGTCTCGCCAGTGTACTTCATGGTAGATAATTAACTACACTGCAAACACATTACGGCAAACAGGAGAAGTGGTTTTAAAACAGGACGGTGCAAACAGAACCCAGTGGCCATTGATGTGCTAGAGAACTTTTACATCCAGCTAATAAATAAATAAATAAATAAAAACAAACAAATAAATAAAAAAGGAGCTGCGGTGGCTCATGTGGTTAAGACGCTGAACTGCAGGCCGTGGAAGGTCAGTAGTTCAGCAGTTTGAGACCCGGGTGCCGCAAGACGGAGTGAGCTCCCGTCTCTAGTTCCAGCTCCTGTCAACCTAGCAGTTCGAAAGCAAGAAATTGCAAGTAGATAAATAGGTACCACTTCAGTGGGAAGGTAACAGCATTCCGTGCGCCTTGGTGTTTAGTCATGCCGGCCACATGGCCACGGAAACGTCTTCGGACAGCGCTGGCTCTTCGGCTTTGAAACGGAGATGAACACCGCAACCCTAGAGTCGGATTCGACTGGCTTTCGAGCAAGGGAACCTTTACCTTTATAATAAATACATACTAATTGACAGGATCTAAAACCTGAAGTTATCACCAAACACAAGCAAGACACCCTTAGGGTAGCTCCAAATGTAAAGTATTAAACAAAGCCTGAAGAATAAATATTAGAAGGTATCAAGGGTGTAAATACTGGGTAAGATCCCAGAAGAAGATGCTGGTCGAGGTGAACCTCTGCCATGTGCCTGTTATGGCCATAGGAAAAGCGATTCTCGGGTTTGTGGGACCCACACTTCCCACCACGAGCCACACAAACCTCGGTTCACGAACCACAACCCAGCGATTTTCGTGAGGAATTTAGGTTCGTGATGAGATTCATGCCCATCCCTTTCTGAAGAGTTAACTCTTCAACTTTTCAGACAAGAGCTCTGCTTAACAGAATGCCTTTCGGAAAGAACATATTCAGTTAGGATCCTTGCGCTGTGGTGGCAACTGCTGCTGAAGCAATGATTTTTAATAAAAATCCACATATGTCTACAATGGCCAATCGGAAGGCCTGCTGGGCAAAAGACCCGTTTTAAACACTTGGAGGACCACCACAAAAGATGCTGATGACCATGCTGGCACCCCAACAGGCATCATGGTGAGGATCGCTGGTCAAGATACATTTGAACATCTTCTGCTCTTCTTAACGTCTCAGACTTATAAACCTGGGAGCCCCCCTCCTCCTGGTGCCTTCAAATTCACAAACACATTGAAACATGGTTAAACAACCTGGTGCTTCCGCTGTTTACCTGTTCTGTGCCGTAAACGTTTCTCTCTGAGGGTGCAGGTCACTGTACACTACTCTGAGGAGGTCGTGCTGACATAGGGCTCCCTCCGTCAAAGCCATGGATCCAATAGTCGACGGCTGGAGAAGTTCAAAAGGTAACGACATTAAAGGTAGATTTAAGATACTATGAATGCGGACAGAAAAGAGGCAAGAACAAAACACTCTAACCGAGGATCGTCTTAAAACAGTACACATGGGCTAGTTTCATTCTGGACTGACAACTACTGAATGCTTTGCTGTTGTCGCGTTAAGTCACAGGTGACTTATGGTGACCCCCCCCCATAGGGTTTTCAAAGCAAGACGCATTTGGAGGTGGCTTGCCATTGCCAACCTCTGCGTCGTGATGCTGGTATTCCTGGGTGGTCTCCCATCCAAATACTCTCCAGGGCCAACCTGGCTTAGCTTCCGAGATCCAAATGCTTACACATGTCACAACATTGGGGTGTCCCCCCAATGTTTATTGGCTGAGGTGACCAAAAAAAAAGGGAATTTAGGTATGTCCAATTGGGAATTAACCCCTTTGGTAGCGTAGTTCTATGGCACTGGAATAAATAATAAACCTGGGCTCTGGGCCAGTAACTTACTCCAGTTGTATAAAAACAGAATTTAGAAATTTATTTACAAAAGGATAACACATATAAAAATATACAAGTAGGGGAAAGGTGCGTGCAATGAAACAAAGACAAGAGTAGAAACCTAATTGACTAGCCTCTAGACACTGACCCTGAGCAGTTGTCTTCCCAGCAGCGCTGAAGCAGGAGTAGAAGTACCAAAGGGAGTGAAGATCTCTCCTTCCAAGTCCACGAGCTCTTCGTGACATGGAATGTTCCTCTTTGTCCAACAGCTCTTCTGTGTGTTTCTTGTTCCTCACTCCTGCCTTTATACTAGCTCAGCTGTCAGTTCCCCAATTGACTGACCAATCAAAGGATCAGTCAACTGATCTAACTGACCTAAGGTGAATCTAGATCTTCAGCTGTCAAGATGGCCTGCTGTCAACCAATTACTTTGACAGTTCACAGCTGGCATCTATCATGCAGAAAGGTAACTAACTGCAGGTGCTCGTTGGGTAAGGTACATCATGACTTGGAAAACAATCCAGACAATACTTACAGAATGACAATTCCAAAGAAAATGTGAATACTTAGATACTAAAGACTCACTTTCGTGACAACACAACTTTAATTTCTAGTTGGAAACGCAACTGTGTTCTTACCTCATGGTAAATTGATGGCTTGGATAAGGAAGGGATGGTGAAAGATAAAACTTTATTGTTCCCATCTTTGTCAGCAATTTCCTACAGCGAAAGGAAAGGTGATGGAAAACTGAGCTGCCTTGCGTCACGTCATGTAGGCTGCTATGCTGTGAGTGATCTCAGCTACCAAATGCAAGACCAGCTCTTTAGAAAAAGATGACCGGGATGCAATTTAAGGGGTAGCAAGTTGTTAATACAGTCACTGTCTTGTAAATATTTATTTTTTATTTATTTTATTTATTTAGTTGGATTTTTATCCCGCCCTCCCCGCCAACGGGCTCAGGGCGGGTTACAGAGTCACATAGTCTCAGCAATAATACTTAAAAAATTAAAACAGTAATTTAAAACAATAATAGAAACAGCAATCAAGGTTCATGTTGCTATGCTCAGTTTAGGCTGATCATAGAGCCAGTGATTTCAGTAGAAGAGGCCAAAGGTGGATTTTGGATGTCTACCGCCTCAACTGAAAGCCAAGCAGAACAGCTCCATTTTACAGGCCCTGTGGAACTGTAATAAATACTCCTGAAACTCCACAATCCCTGTTCAAAAACAACACAATACCTACAGTGATAATTGTTTTTTAAAAACATACGCATATTGTGTGCACTCCACCACATGGAAGCAGTGTTCCCTCTAAGCTGAGTTAATGTGAGCTAGCTCACAGTTTTTTAGCCTCCAGCTCACACGTTTTTGTCTTAGCTCAGGAAGGAGGGCTCCAGAGCAAACTCATTTATGCAGTAGCCAAATGGCTCACTCACAACTTTAACGCCAGCAGCTCACAAAAGTAGAATTTTTGCTCACAAGACTCCACAGCTTAGAGGGAGCATTGCATGGAAGGAGAACGCACAACCCCTGAAGAGCTCAATAAAATCGAAGACAACAATAACTTTTTAAAAAAGGGAATGAGATTAGCGTTCTCATTCCGAAGAGGTATTCTGGCAAAGCCTGTGAAGCAATGTAACCCCCCCCCCAAATAACTTTAACAAGGGGGCAGGAAGAGTCCCATCTCACAGCACAGCAGTCAAAATCTATTAGAACTGGTCTTATGAAAATACTGCGAGGAGATCAGAATCTTGGAAACGGTGTAACAGACGGGAAAGAGACCCCAGCGACCTGCTTTCGCTGTAGTCAACACAGATGAAAAAGACCAAAGCGCTCCTCGGCCACCTCCCCTGCAGATTTACTTACCAAGTTGTAAATCCCCAAGAGCAGGGCTTCGATGCAGCCATTACTTTGCCGATCTTTGCTGGCAGTCAGACGCAGATAAACCCAGATCAGTTCCGGCAAGAACTGCAGCGTGAACCTTTTGAGACGGACCTCGGAGCTACGATAGAGTTCAAAGAGTTGGTGGCAGACGGGCTCTAGAAGCTACGAGAGACAGCACACACACCACAGGTTATGGTTCTGGCCTAGTGATCACATGTTAAGCAAATCATTTTCCAAGCAGTGAGTTGACGTAATTGTGTATATAGATATAGGCTTGCCGTCAAGTCACAGCCGACTTAGAGCAGCCCCATAGAGTTTTCGAGGCAAGAGATGTCCAGAGGCGATTTGCCATTGCCTGCCTCTGCTTCACAACCCTGGATTTCCCTCGGGGGTCTCCCATCCAAGTACTAAAGCAGTGCCGACACTGCTTAGCTTCCAAGGTTGAGCTAGCCTGGACTGCCAGTTTTTTAAAACTGGTGCAGTAAGAATCATAGAGCCATAAAGAGTCGGAAGGGGCCCTAGAGGCCATCTAGTCCAACCCCCTGCTCAATGCAGGATCAGCCTAGAGCACCCCTGGCGAGGGTCTGTCCAGCTGCTGCTTAATAGTGAAAGGAACAATATTAAAACACATTTTACTTAATTTTGCATGATTAATTTGCTTTTGTATAATTTATTTTAATAGTCAATGTTTGCCTACACCCTAATCTATGATTATTATGATTACTGCTGGCTTTGTAGACATTTACCTTTGTTGGTAATCTTGCAACTTTGATAGGTGAGTTTGATGGGATCTTAATTTGCAGAAGGACGGGATAAACAGTTTAAAAAAATTGTTTTTATATAATTTTTATCAATGTAGACTTTTTTAGATCTCTAACATTCACCTGATGCTGTTTTAATCTGTTTTTCATACACATTTAGATTGCCTTTCTACCATTACATTTTATAGAGATGTGTTAGTATTGATTTAAAAAGAGGGGGAAAAACCACATTCTACTGAATCTCAAAACAAATCCTGCGGCGCAAACATAAATTAAGAGCAAACACAAGTGAAATACTCCTAAAGCTGAAGCCAAGTATTACCTGCATGAGTATGAAATTAGTATAACTTTCTACTGCTACACAGTTTGGAAGGGGGGAAACCAGAGTCTGCATTTTACCTTGCTGTCAGCCAAGGGTTACTTGAGATACCTTTTCAAACATTCCATACTTGCTCTTTGGGATATACAGATAAAGATCTTATATGTTTTTATTACCTGCTCGCCTTACATTAGCAGTTAAAAACTTGGTGGATGCTTACGGCCATACTGTAAAGTAGTATTACCCAGAGGGCCGCAGCTAGTTAGCCCACAGGTGATGATATGGGGTGGGGGGGACACACCGTTGTACTGCCCTACTGCTGATCACTAGCTTACATTTGCCCACATGACTTTCTATACTCTCATTTTCAGAAAACTTCAGATTTGTTGTTGTTCAGTTGCACAGTTGAGTCCGACTCTTCCCGACCCCATGGACATCATCACGCCAGGCCCTCCTGCCCTCCATCGTACTCCAGAGTTTGCTCGACTTCATGTTCGTTGCATCGATAACCATCTCCACCTTTGCCGTCCCCGTCTTCTTTGACCTTCAGTCTTTCCCAGCATCAGGGTCTTCTCCAGTGAGTGCTCCCTTCTCATTTGGTGGCCCAAGTATTTGGGTTTCAGTTTCATTATCTGGCCTTCCAGGGAACAGTCAGGGTTGATTACTTTTAGGATTGACTGATTTGATCTCCTTGCAGTCCAAGGGACTCTCAAGAGTCTTCTCCAGCACCATAATTCGAAAGCATCTATTCTTTGGCACTCAGGTTCCTGAACCAGCAGCTACACAATGGAGATGTTCTTATGAAGCTAACAGGAGGAGTATTGGGGGTGGAAAGTGCCATCAAGTGCCGTCAAGACCCTGTAGGGTTTTCATGGTAAGAGACGTTCAGAGGTGTTTTGCCTTTGCCTGCCTCTGCATCATGACCCTGGTATTCCTTGGAGGTCTCCCATCCAAATACTAGCCAGGGCCGTACCTGCTTAGTTTGCGAGCTCTGATGAGATCGGGCTAGCCTGGGCTATCCGGGTCAGGGCATTTAAATGTAACAAATGGCATTTCACCATGTAGGGTCTGCTCTAATTTTTTTAAAGGTATAAAATTCCACTGAGCGTTTGACTCTTAACTGGCGCATTTCCACTGCATTTATTACAACACTGCACAATTCTTCCTGTTCTTAGCTATCCAACTACAGGAGGAACCAGTAGCTTTGTTAAAGCACTGTTGACATTAAAGGTTCAAGGGTTGGCCTGTTCGTTTTCTACAGAAGGAAATTATACTCTTTCCAAAAAAAATTTCCCGTATCCTGCTTCTAAAAGCAGAGCTAAACACTCTTGCCTTGTGTTTTACTGACACGTCTTTTTACTCTCTTTTGTCAGATTTAGAATGAAATTCTTCAAGGAATCCAAACTGAGCCGACCTCTGTCAGCCTGTGCAACCTCTATCACCCAAACCAAGCAGTGGCTCTGAATACAATTCAATAGCAAAAACAGATAGCGCTCAGCTAGAAACATGTTCCGCAACCCTCAAATACATCCAAAAATAGAATTAAGCAGGATGGAAGGAAACAAAATTTCCCCCTTTATTGAACAGAGTAAGAAAAAAAGCTGCTACGACGCTTTCAAAATGGAGGCCGTTAATAAAGTCCAGAGTTGCCCTGTTAAATTAATCGGCTGTTTCATACCTCATTGTTTGGATCCTGAATGACCTTATAAAGAGCAGGCACCAATGTTTTTTTCCGGTGAAGCGTGGCTGCATAATTGGAGACTTGAGTTTCAGGTAACGCCTAGAAGAACAATAGCTGTGTTAACAATAGCCTGCTTACCTTTCAGCACAGGCCACCACAAGTGAATTTACTGTCCCTCAATCCAGGAAGGGAGATCCAAAACAAAGGTCTTCTGTATGCTCTACGCTATTGAGAAGGGTGTGTGTAATTAAGTCACAGTTGACTCACAGCGACCCCCATGGGGTTTTCAAGGCAAGAGACGTTCAGACGTGGTATGTCACTGTCTGCTTCCGTGTCACAACCCAGGTATTCCTTGGAGATCTCTCATACAAATACTAGCCAGGGCTGATCTTGTTTCGCTTCCGAGATCTGATGAGATCAGGCTACACTGGGCTATCCAGGTCAGGACACTGAGGGGTGGTAGTGGTACAAAATCCCCCCCGCTATCCAGAAGCCACCCAGGGAAGCGGCAAAGGTATTTCTGCCTTCTTACCTTGAATTCGGACAGCCATTCTTCTACCACACTGCGTTCGGATCCGAGCATTTTCTTACAACTTCTGCTCCTTTTTTCACCTTTGCAAAGCAAAACAGAGACTGAGCAATGAAGCACGCAGAGCCAAGGTACCAGGAACAAATCGCTCCGGTGTCTGATAAAATTATACTATCCGGCAACCCAAGCACTATCTTTAAAAAATAAATAAATAAATTCACCCTATTTATGTTCAAAAGAAGCTCATTGTGCTTCTTAACTGCAGTTAGTACATTTGGAAGGGTGAAAAAGAATAGTACGTATCCCCTGTTATAAGGCAAACATTACGAACCACGCTCGTTCTCTTACGGAATATAATACAAAGAACAGTCAACTTAGAACAGGCTAAAATACATCATAGAACCATGTGACATCCTCTAATGATAAAAAGCTGGCCATGGAACAAAGGAAAATACTTTTTGCAAAGTTCTCTTGAAGTCATAACAGCATTGTATCTGTTTCCTCTATTTGTTGCGAAGAAGCTGAGAAACTCCTGTTCCAAGGGTCCTTAAACTTTTAATCGGCTACCACCCACCAAGGACACAGCGTTATCATTGAACGCCCTCCAAGCCGTGAGTGGATAAGAGAGCGCAAAAAGAGCTCTCCAGGCGAAGCCACTTGTTCACATGAGTAGTATTTTAAGATTGATGCCTATGAGGTACAGACCGAAGCATACATTCAATGAGACCCTTGTGCCTAATTTCCGCCAGCCAGCTCCTTATTGAAAGGTTTGGTGGCAATTTGCTGTGTGCCATGTTAGGAGCCTGGGGAACAAATATGGAATTTTATTCTTGAGGTGGGATAAACAAATAGCGGAAGAAGAAAAAGAAGAGTTGGTTTTTATACCCTGCTCTTCTCTACCTCACGGAGCCTCAAAGCGGTTTGCAATCGCCTTCTCTTCCTCTCCACAAAACAGGCATTTTGTGAGGCAGGTGGGGCTCAGTGTTCCAAGCTGAGTCAGTGTGAGCTAGCTCACAGGTTTTTAAGCCTCCGGCTCACACATTTTTGTCTCGGCTCAGGAAGGAGGACTCCAGAGCAAACTAACTGATGCAGCGGCCAAATCGCTCACTCACAACTTTAATGCCAGTAGCTCAACAAGTAGAATTTTCGCTCACAAAAATGCTTAGAGGGAGCATTGGTGGGGCTGAGAGAGTTCTGAGGAAACCGTGACTGGACCGAGGCCACCCAGCAGGCTTCACGTGGAGAAGTCGGGACTGCACAGCCAGTCAAGATCTCCAGTGGCCAATCAGAAGGGGCAAAGGCTCCCCAGCCCTGCCTACTTTCTAAGAACGCCTGGAACGCACCAGGAAATATGCGAGTGGGAGCCACAGCACTCATGAGCACTATGTTGGTTATTCTTGTTCTAAGAGCCTCTAAGATTCCACGTTCAAATAAAGCTGACAACTAAGTGAAAAGGCTGGCTGGGTTCAACTCAGTGTGTTTCCTCTTCGCATAAAATTTGCAACGGTGTATGGTACAACACTGTTCGTTAGTAAATCTTGCTGGTTTCATTTTGTACATTTTTACCGCGATACTAAAAAGGCGATTCCTACGAAGATTTTAAAAAACACTTTGAAAGAAGTCTTCAAAAAGGTTTTCCTGAGTCATAAAATTAATCCCTCGGGCTCATCAATTTGTCTTAAGATTACTGTCATTAACAAAATTAATTTTTTCAGTGTGTGGATGCTCTGATCTCTTACAAATGCAAAAGTGCTGGTCAGCTTCCTGAGAGACTGAAATATTAAAGCAACTGAAAGAATTACGCCTAAACCAGGCTTAATAACGAGGGACTCTTAGGCCAGCATGACTATCATGCCAAAGGCCATAATTTATTACAAAATATGTAGTGCTTCTTTTTTTAAAAGGTATGTGTAAAACCAGAAGTCACTGAACTGTTGAGAATATTGGTTACTTCTCTTTTCTCTTCACAGGCCAATAGCTCTCAAGAGCTGACTTCCACTGCTCTCCTGCTGAGGAGGAATGCTGTTGTTTCATCACTGGATAACCAATATCCTTTTCATAGAATCACGGAAGGGACCTCCAGGGTCATCTAGTCACAAATACCTCCCCCCACGTACACCCCCAGTGACCGCTGTTCCATGCCCAGATGATGACAAAAAACCTCCAGGATCCCTGGCCAAACTGGCCTGGAGACAAATTGCTTCCTGACCCCAAAGTGGTGATCAGCATTTCCCTGGACATATAAGAAAGGGTCACAAGAACTAAGCACTGAGGCAACCCTTCCTGCCCTCCCTCCCTTCTCATGATCTGCCTAAGTTCACAGAATCAGCATGGCTGTCCGATGACCATCTAGCCTCTGTTTGAAAACCTCCGAAGTAGGAGAGCCCACCACTTCCCCAGGACACCTGTTCCACTGAGGAAAGCTCTGTCAGGAAGTTCTTCCTAATGTTTAGCTGAAAACTCTTCTGATTTCATTTCAACCCACTGGTCCTGGTCCGACTTTCTGAGACAACAGAAAACAAACTCCACCCCGTCCTCAGTGCTGGTTAGTGGAGCAGTAGGAGCCTAATTGGGAGGGGGGTGTTTCCCAGTCTTGTGCCAATGCCACAGCATTAATTCTGATACCAACCCAGAAAGTGATGTCGCTACGTTGACACAACACACTAGGATTCACCTAAAACTCTATCATGACCACCGAGTTTCAGGTGGATCCTAGAGCATCGCACCAACACAGTGATGTCACTTGTGAGTTCACGCTAGAAGCGATGTCAGTGTCAACACAATGTCGTACAGTGTGACTTCACCACTATCCCCGCATCTCCGGGGGGCTGCCAGCACTGGACTGGGCCAGAGGAAATTTAGCAACGTATGTATTTGCAATGCAGGCTTATGGACAGACTGGATCAGGCAAAGGTAGAGATGGGTGTGTGAGGGAGTTTAACTTTGGGAGCAGCCTCTGGGGCTGAACGATGCTGGAAACATCAGGGGTCAGTACACAACTGTGTCCAAAGTAGCTCAAATTCCTGGTTTATGTTTTTTGATGCAACAGACTAGCACAGATTTCCTTCTGGTTATTAATAATCCTAAAACAGCAATGTCGATAAATACTTCAAAGCAGTTTGCTCTTAAACCCAAGGGTTAACCTCTTGCCTTTCCTGTGCTCATTCATCTATGGCTCCCTACAAAGCCAGAGCGTAGAAACGATTATCCCAAAGAAAAAAATGATTCCCCCCCCCCCAAGTGTAACTCAGCTGAAGCCATAAGATTTTTATCTTCTGGGCTTTCACATCTCTACAGGAAAGGCCAGTTATAAATAAAAAATAAGTAAATACATAGAAAAAAGACAGAACACACATTCATATAAATATACTTAGATCAGTGCTATTAATATAGACTGAAGCTTGTCACAGAAAGCTTCTTTTGCACAAAGTGAGGCCACTAAGTGGGCAGAAACTCTAACAGAGGAGAGGGCAAATGGAAATTTCTTCGAGACAGGCTCCACGCGCTCCAAATCTATGACATAACTAGAATTGGACAGGAAAGCTGGATTTTTGTGTGTGACACTGCCAGTATGGCAGCTGCAAACAAATAGCCAACAGAACCTATGGTGGCTTCCCCTTTCTCTATACTGATGAGAATTTGTCCTTATGGATAATTCCAGAGAAGCAGCCATGTTAGCAAAAGAAACCGGAGTCCTGTTTCATTTTGTACTGGTGGGGTGTTCCATATCACTTTCATATTCTGCTGCAAAACAAATAACTACCACATATTTTCCAGAAATACTGAGAGTGTACGAATGACTTAAGATAGGAATTCTCATTTCAGTTGCCTAAACGTGATATTTTCTGATCATCAAGAATTGGTAGCTTGAGATGAGACAAAACTGGCGTGGAAACCTCCCTTCCCTACCTCAGGATAATCTAGACTGAGTTTCACCCAGTTACGTTCATATTTCTCCACAGAAACTGAATCCACAGAAACTGCAGGCATTCATTTGTGAGAACAGCACACAGAGCCATAGCCTTTTATTCCAGCTGCCAAAGAGGAGGAGGAGACTGGATTTATACCCCTTCCTTCACTCGGAGTCTCAGAGTGGCTTACAAACTCCTTTCCCTTTCCCTCCCCACAACAGACACCCTGTGAGGTAGGTAGGGCTGAGAGAGCTCTTTCAAGGACTGCGCTTGAGAGCACAGCTCTGACAGAATCATGGCTTGCCCAAGGCCATCCAGCAGGTGCAAGTGGAGGAGTGGGGAATCAAACCCAGTTCTCCTAGATTAGAGTCCGCACACTTAACCACTACACCAAACTGGCCAAAGAGGCAAGCGGCTGCTCATTCTTATGACTCAGCTTGCCTCTTCAGCAGGGGAAGCTGGTATAGCACGAGTTTGCTCTCACTGCTCACACAGCTGTTGGGCAGGCACACAAGCCATCTCTTCAGCGCATAGTCAACACTTCTAAATTCGCTTCCCGGAGACACTCCCTTTGAACAAAAAACACTTTTAAAAATAACTTTTGGGCAATCTAGAAGGGCAAATATAAGTCAGTTATGCCAGTGCTAATGTTAGCATCAGGCGCCGTTCTACTGTGTGTGCCTTGCGTCACACAGGAAAATATCCATTAATGTTTAAGAGGCCACTCCTATGCATACAGTTCAGGTCACACAGAAATATTTGACAGTTCTGAATGCTAAGCCATTATTTCTACCCCTGCTTCCCCAAAACTTACACACGTCAGTTAGTATACACTAATGTGACAGTTCTGAATGCTAAGCCACTATTTCTACCCTTGCTTCCCCAAAACTTACACACATTAATTAGTAGTAGTACTACTACTAAAATTTATTGTGTAGCCAATGGCCACTACATTAATTAGTATACACTATCCACACTATCAAGTGGTTAAGATGCTAAACTGCAGACCGGAAGGTCGGTAGCTCAGCAGTTCGAGACCCGAGTGCCGCATGACGGAGTGAGCTCCCATCTCTGGTCTCAGCTCCTGCCAACCTAGCAATTCAAAAGCAAGAAATTGCAAGTAGATAAATAGGATTCGACTGGCTTTCGA